TATGTTGTTGTACATTAGGTTTAGAAACTAAAGTGTAAATCTTTCACGTTATGGAAGAAATCTACGAATTCATCCTGATATGTTAAATGATACTTCTAGTTCAAAATTAATGTGCCACGATGCATAGATTTCAATTTCTTTAATTAGTTTTGTAGTTCGTGAAATACAATAAATTTTTTTCTACCTATCTTTTCTATTAATCTTTTTAGATTTATCTCGGTGTTCCTGTTAATACTGTTATCAATGAAGTTAATCATTTTCATTCTGTTTTGAGTTAATAATAATGAATAATATATTACTGAAACGACACAAGATATATAATAAAAACGTCTAAACTAATGTAATCGATTATTATGAATCAAATAAAACAAGCTGCTTCAGTTACTAACCAAGACTCGTTTTATATCGAACCTCAAACTATGCGTAACACACGAGAAAATAATTGAGATAAAAAAAATACTAAAGCATAAGCTATGTATACATTCTCAAAATCTTATTAACTCTTTTTTTAGGATATAAATTGATATAAAATTTTACCACTATGATGATCAATATAATTATATCGAATATGAAAAAAGCTGTTCGAGACGCTTATGCAACGCTTGTAAAATAAAGTTTTATATTACAACACATTGAATTTGCTTTCATTCAGATCTTTCTGATATGCACGATGATGAGAACGATAATGATAGTTCCGATTGACTTGACAATGCTTTGGACTTTGGAAAATAGTAAAGCATAGTCTTTCATCTTCGTTGAGTATTTTGGAGTCACATTTGCCCTCACAAAAACTCCTTAATTGAGTCACATAAACAATTTCTCTAATTGTTTTACTTATCTATTTAATATTGATGTTTATTTAAGCAGGAAATAACATATGAGAAATTTTATTTTTTCATTTCTGTTCATTGTGTGAAAATTTGTTCTTGTCAAATTTGATACACATTGCTTGGAAATAGCAAGCGTACAAATACATGTACAATTATATAATAGAATGTGGCATAATTTTCATTTTGAATTTTCATTAGAAATTCTGATACCTGTAGGAATTCATTCGAAATTATTCTTTTTAGATAAAAATTATTATAAGCATATTCTTTTCAATAAAAGTAATTATAAGTATTATTCAGCTTCTTAGTCGATACTATAGTATATGTATCTTTAATTTCAGATTGCTTTAGTTTTTTATAATGAATTGGTCTTGTGCAGAGGTTTTGGATTGGTGCCGCTCATTTATTGACGACGAGACAATTATAAATCGTTTTAAAGGTCAGTTATTTTTCGTTTTCAGCTTTAACCGAGTACTCTTTTATTCTTACTTTAACTTAATTTCACCATATTTTTTTAAATATACGCACTGTGAAACTAGTATAATAGGCGAATGTGCAACACATGGTATCTAGAAATCATTGTTTACTTGCTTTTAGTTTAGTTCTCTTCTTCCCTTTTCTCCTAATACATCAGAAATGCGTGCACGTGCAGAGATAAAGAATAAATTGTTTTACACGGATTGTTATTTTATTTTTCTTATTTTTATTGATCTCCTTTTTATTTATTTTATTTGTAAGTCAATCGTACAAAATAAATCTAAAGAAAGCATAAAAGAAGCCTTTACTATATCGTATTATAATAAATTTAACTATAGACTCGTGAATTTCTATAGGAAATGTCTTTATTTGTTTGTCCTCTTTGTTACACAAATTTTGAATTTGAAACTTTTGCGAAATTCTTTCGCCATATTACTCTCTATCATCAAAATGAACCGGGATTCAGAATGACATGCAATTTGAATGTAACATGTGGTGTTTCTTATCGTACTTATTCGGCCTACAAATCTCATATATATCGTCGGCATTCTTCTCAGCTGTATTCATCAGAACCAACGTTTTACAATATAAACGCTTCTTGTACAAATAACAACGAACAAGATGATGCCGATTTACCTGTCGATTCAAATATTATTTACGATGATTATAACAATGAATTGTTTTACCTTGACAATGATGTTTCATTAGATTTATCAACATATGAAAATAAAGAAGAACCTGCAAGAACCACAGCATCATTGTCGTCTACTACAGTTCAAGAAAATCCGTCAGTTTCAACTTTAGATATTAAAAAATCTTACACATCGTTTATTGTGCAACTTCGAGAAGAATTTCTTGTACCAAAGAATACTACACATGTTATTTGTTGCTATATTATTACTCTCATGAAACGTTTGGAAGTTTTATTTGAAGCGCAGGCGAAAGATATTATTGATGATAATGTTTGCTCAAAAGCCTCCAAAGAAAAATCAACAAATAAAGTTATTGAATTAAATGTACTCAAAGGTGTGATAAAAAATGTTTGTCATGAAATAAAATGTATCACCAAAAACGAGTATCAATTTACAAAAAGTTGCGAAGAATTTTTTAGTTATTATCCACCTGAAGAAATAATTGTTTCAGCAAACGACGAAGAATTAGAACAAGGATACTTTATTCCAATAGATAAATCGTTGTCTTTAATGTTACGCTCTCAAACTATTCTAACTGAAATTCTTCGAAATTTTCAACAGCAACGGATGGCAGTTGAAATTGATGAAGATTTGATGCTATCTTATCGAGACGGACATTTTGGCAGCAGAATCGATGATAACAGTTTGTTAATCCAACTATACACCGATGATATAGGTGTGACTAACCCAATAGGTGCTAAAAAAGATCAGCACAAGCTATTAATGATCTATTTTTGTCTTGAAGATCTAACTGAACAGTACCGATCTCGAATTGATTTTATTAATTTAGTTGCAATATGTCCTACTAAAATCTTCAAAGTAAAACTCTTTTACATTAAATTTCATTCTCTAGGTGGACTTTTGACGCTTGAAAGTTTTTTGTTGGTTTTCAAGAAAAATCCTTGATATACGTTTATTCACTTTGTTTTACAAAAGTTACATTTATTTTTCTATCTGAGAGAAAATAAGCTATATTTTATCTAATGAATAGTATAGATTCAATAAATTCTAAATTCGTAAAATCCTATTTCATGACTTTGGTAGTTCAGTTCATAGGGTTTAATTAGAAAATCTTAAAATTTTCTGTAGCTTCATTAAAATTCAAAAACTCTTGAAAAAAATATACAATAGACGACTTTTATTTCAGGATAAGGACGCACCCAAGTAGAGATATTTATTAGCCATTTCTACAATTTAAATAAATTTTAACTCCTACAGTTCTTTCTGTTTGTTTGCAACAGTGCTTTTTTTTGTCGCAATTTATTTCTTCATTGAAATTTCTCATCAATTTCGACTAAATCTGAGCAGAAAAAATCTTCCGAAAAGATGTTATAAATATATACCTTCAATGATTATGCACCACTAAGTATCAGAGTGCTCTCAGAATTACGAATACTAATTTTTTTTCCTTAGTTTTATTATATCAATCGTCCCATTTTTGTGTTCACCATCTGGACACCTTAAATTAAAGAATTAGTAACAATCATCCTTAATCTGCTGAAAATGGATTTTTACGTGACCTTAACAAAAACAACTTGACCATATTTGACATTCACTAACATACAACACTCATTACAACCCCAAGAATAATCGTCCAACACTCTAGAATTCTTTACAACAGTTGTATTCTTGTTTTCAATGCTACTTGAATCATTTTGAGATGTTCAGACAAACCATACATAAGGCATTTGATCATGTAACGTTTTCTTGATGAGGTCTATTATGATTAGAGACGTTGTTAGTCCCTGTAATATGAGAAATTTTTTCTGCGGTTTATCATGTGATATTATTGTTTCGAAATAAATTTACAGTAATGAATATATTTTTGAGGACAATATGAAAGCTAAACGCTTTCTTCAACCAATTATTGACAATTTAAACCAGTTGCAAGTGAATGGACTTTTCATCAATGGTGTTCACATAAAATTTTCATTTTCTACGATGGTGGCAGATAATTTAGCTGCACACTTGATTGGTGGCTTTCAACTGAATTTTAATAGCGGATATTTTTGCCGAAGATGCTATATTAAATATGCTGATAAAAATTTGCCGATTTTAATGACCAAAGCTGATACTAGAACAAGCACTGATCATGATAAATTTATCGAAAAAATTATTCAAAATCCATATGAATCACCATTGATGGGTATCACTAGAAAAAGTACATTTGAACAATTAATTGGCTTTCATCCGATCATGTCACTTCCAGGTGACTTAATGCACGACTTTATCGAGGGTATTTGTCCTCTTGTAATGATGGCTATACTTAAACAAGCGTCATCGATGCGACTTGTAACTTATGGTGAAATATGATGATTTCACATTTGAGATGTAACGCAAATTTAGGCCATATTAGTTCTACGGGTATTGATTAGAAAATTCGAAATTACTGTCGTTAGTGAGTTTTTCATGATCAGATAAACGTAAATTTTCGTATGAGTCGAAATTGGGATTACCAATTAAGAATTAATTTTTAGTTATGAATGAATTTCATTTGACTTTTTCAAACTTCCTAATACAGTTCTCGTTATGGTTGGCAGAATAGTTTAATAAGGATAAAATACAAATACTGTTTACAGATCTAATTTGTCATTTTTTCATTCAGATAAGACGAGAATCTGAAAGACTGTCATCTACATATTAGTTTTATCTGCCTTTTTCAAAAATTATCGGATGAATTAATAGAACGACTTACCAAGATTTTATATAAAATCTCTTAATCGATATTATTTAGACATAGTTCTGAAACGACTATTTAGTAAATGATTATAGGATGACGTTTACAGTAATGTACTAAGTATGCAATAAAGAATGATGAACGTACTTGTACATATATAATCTCTCTTATACAATTGTTATACCTGTATTTTCTTCATTAACTTATTTTTTATTGAAAGATAAGTATTCATAAGTCTATTTTTCACATATTCTGTCTTTCACAATGATTGAGATATTCTAAATCAGTGACAATTTAAGAACAAGACTACTTGTTCTTTAGAAGAAAAATGATTTAATATTTTACATGTTAACTATTACTTGTCACTACAGTCAAGTTCATTCTTTCTTTGTCATCAGTATCAACAGATAAAATACTACTAGTTGTCACAATCGGTATAGATTCCAATTGTCGAATCACTGCTGAGAAAAACTGAAAATTTTCTGTAGGAAAATATGATTTAATTTTTTAGAATTGCTAGAAGTTCAGTCTTTCTTATCAGTCTAGTACAAGACAATAACCGAACTAGAAAATCTAAAAAATATTTAGTATGTACAAACATGACTGATTCATCGAATACATTCGATAGATGCTTCCAAAATATTCTTTCAAAATCGATTACATATGAGCTCTCATCATTGCAGTACATGTTTTTCTTTTTTATTTCATGTTGTAAAGCTGGAATACAAAAACGAATGAAGAACTTTCAATATGGCTATTTCGATTCTCGCAATCGACCACCACCAATTCTAGTAAAACATATGCACAAGAATCATATCAATGGAACTGCTGCTCAAAAGCTGTGTCTGTTTCGCCTTTTCCCATTTATATTTAATGATTTTATTCATGATGTACTATCAATGATAGTTTATAGACAATTCCGCGATATGTTGGATTTGGTTTTATCTATTCCATTCCGAAAACAGTGGATTCCTGTTTTACACGATTTGTGTATTGCTTTTCACGAATCTATGTTATTATATTTTCCGACTAAACTGGTACCTAAGGTTCATTTCGTATGTGAGTATGACAAGATAATCAATGATTATGGCCCATCGATACGGCAGTGGTCCTTCAGATATGAAGGATGTCACGCCTACTTCAAAAAGATTGTACTTAGATCGAGCAACTTCAAAAATATTCCCAAGATGTTGGCCACACGATACAGTTTAAAACAAGCATTTAAGCTATCTCGATTATCTCAAATGAAAAGCCTACATTATGCAGTTGGAATAACTAATACTCAACGTACATCTTTTACCACACAAAT